AGTTCCTTTCTAGTAACTCACGTCGGTAATTCACCGACGAAGATCATGTCTCCAAGTACAATAAACAGTGTCTTGGTAGGTGGGATGGTGGGCTAATTACCAACAAGAATCATGTCTCTACCTATTATGAACAGTGGCATACTAGTTGGAGTAGTTGGCTAATTACCGAGGAGAATGGTGTTTGAAATTTGAATTGGCAATGCAATGTGGGAATTTTCGATTTGTAAGTTACTGACAAAAGTCACATGGGTACCTAAATCTATTAAAATAAAAAAAAAACAGTTTCCTGAATTAATATTGAAATTAATATATAATTTTTATTTAATTCAATTGATTTACATTTAAATATTACCTAATTCACAATATTTAATTTTATAAAAAATAAATATGATATTAAAATATTACAGCACATAAAAAAATGATTGTGTTTATTTATTCAAATTAATGATTAAAACAAAATTTAGAAAATAAGAATAATATTACAAACTTAAAATATAATTACATAATCCAAAAAATTAAAAATTACCTCAATAGAGTTAATTTACAAAACACCATTTCCTAAAAAAATAAAAAAACATAAATTAAGTTATTATTTATATATAATTATTTCAACCAAATAATAATAATCAAAATAGAAATGAAATTAAATGGTAGTTTACATAAATAAAATTGATTTAACCATACCATTGTCTCTCCCAACAATGTTTCCTAGAAAATAAAATTAAAAAAAAGTTAGAATCACAATTAAATTAATTAATAACACAAATTAGTGTTTAATCAAATAAAGAGAAAGAATGGAAGAGAAAAAAAGAGGAAATTGAGAAGATACAAACCTAAAATTAAATAAATATAATGTAATTATAAATATAATACAATTAATCTAGCAACATCTAAATAATGGAAGAAACGAGGAGGAACAGAGAAGGGAGGAGAAGAAAATAGAAGAAGAAAGCAAGAAAGAAAGAAAAAAGAATTGAGCGGGTTAAGGTGTTGTGGTAATATATAGAGTATTTTACCAATGTGACTCTTGTCGGAGTTTATTTTACTAACAAATTGCACATCGTAATGTTGCTTGCACGCGGGAATCCAAAATGTTCAAAAATTTTCCAATCCCGCCCAAACCAGCTTCATGTTGGAAAGAATTCTGCCCATTTTACTGACAAAAATTTTCCAAGCCCCAAGAAAGTGCGTAAATGGATTGGGTAAAGAATATGGACCTGAGTTGTACTAGAACCGTCTCACTTAACCGACCCCGAGCCACCGTCGAGTAATGTAAACCTCATCTTCGTCTTCTTTCAACATTCCCCGTCTGCGTTTATAAAGCAAAGATCTCCGTTTTTCTCTCTATTTGTGCAGCTTTTGGGAATTTGTTGGAGAAAATACTAAAGAAAAGCAAAGATCAAACACATTGTAACTAACTAGTCAAAGGGAAGAACAGAGGAAAGGAAAGCAAGATGCCTGAAGAGGAAGACCAAATTGAAAGGGTAAGGGAGTCTGGGGTGGTAAGAGGTAACCCCTACCGACGAAAACCACATTGCAACCATTAAAAGATGATCTTCTCTACGGAGCTACAGCATGCAGGTTGACCAACGTGATCACCGAGAAGTGTATGGCTGGCAATATGAAATTACCGATCAAAATTTCGTCGGTAAGAGTACCAAAAGCTACGAGCTCAACCATCGGCAGCCGGATTCACGGGGAAGGGTTGGGGACTGTGAATTTACCAACAAAGTCTTTGTCAGTAAATTTACCGAGATGAATCCTGTTGCAGATTGAATTAGTTACAGGTGTGATCTTTGTTGCTGATTTGTTTATTGGTCTGCTTGTGGCCGGAGTGTACTTTGCAGCAAATTACCGACGAAGGGCACGTATGTATTGTGCAAATTTACCGAGAAAAATTTTGTCTGTACCTTAAATAATATAAATTACTCTTATTTTTACTGTTTCTTTATTTGCAGACGTTTGTCTTGTCAGTAAGGGAATAGTTTACCGAGAAGACTTCTCATGTCGGTGATTATGGGTCGATAATTTTGAGTTTTCTAGTAGTGAAATCTTACATTATTCAGAGGGCCTTCTATTTTAATAATCTTTTGTAATTTGGACTATATAATATTTTTTATATTAAACTATGAAAAAAAAGTATGTATCGATCTTGATTTCTAAAAAAATTTCAAATTTTAACCTTAAATGATGCTATTTTACTTAATTAAAACTTAATTCAAAAGTTAAAAATCCACTTTGTTAAATGTTAATACCTTATTAAATGTTAATACTTATATTTGAAAAATGATTATATATTCTAATACAATTAATTTACAAATTCATGTATTAATATTTAGTAAGATAAATTTTTAAATTGTGAGTTAAATTTTTAGTTTTCAAATGTAAGTATCAATATTTAATAAGATAAATTTTCAAATTTGAAACTAAATTTCCTGAGGTAAAGGGTAGAATGTTTTTTGTGCTTTTTTGAACAAGATGTAAAAGTACAAATTGACAGAACATAAACTTTGTTTTGTATTAAATTATAAAATACTTTTTAAATAAGATAAAAATATTATTTTAAAAACAATATTATTTTTTAAAAAATTAAGTTAATTAAACATGCACAACGAATGTATGTCAAAAATGGAAATCATGATATTTTAAACTTTAAGTTTGAATCTTATTTTCTACAAGTTGTTGTTTAACTTTATGTTGATTGTTTAAATGTGCAATTTAATTTAATTTATTTTATGATGTATTAGATACTGATTCATTCATATAGTGTATACTCAAACAAATTGTAATTAATGAAATTTATACATAAAAAGGAAGAAGCTTATATGCACATAAACTATATAGAAAAGTGAAAATACAGTGTAATGAAACAATATTTTAGAGACTGATCCTTCCATTAATAATTAAAAAAATACAATTCACAAAAATAACTGCAAAGGACTATTCGAAACAATACTATGTAAAACCAATTAATTAATTGAGAAAACAAGAATCTACCAGTTGCTTTCATCATTCACTAACTTAAAAGGAAAAGGGAAAATTAAAAGAGAAAGGGCGAATGCATAAATTTACCCCCCAAAGTATAATTATAAGGACGAATTCACCCTCTAATTAAAAACAATGACAAACCCCTTAAAAATATTATCTACAGTCTCTATCCATTCTGCAGTTAATTGGCATAGAATAATTTCTTTCTTATTTATTATTTTTAAAAATAAGACTTTACACCAATCTAGCCATGTTTTAAGTCTGGCTAGGGATCGACCTGTTTTGGCCACTGAATCTAGTTCAATTGGTTGAACTGATTTAATTGTTCATGTCCATTGGTCAACTTAATAAATACCATTTAATTCATTTTATCAATTATAAATTATTTTTACTTTAATTGATTTTATTTTTAAATTTGATTGAAATCATTTTTATATTTATTCATCAAAGTAATTATTAATTTGTAAAACTATATTTTCAAAATTTATTAATTTAAAATTTCATTCATTAAATTTATTAAAATACATAATATATTTTTCTTTAATAGACATCTTAAACATTGATATCATATTAATTATAAAATTATTTTTTCCTTACATTGATTTTCATTCCAAAATTGCTTAAGATTAATTTTAATTTTAAAAAGATTTCATTCATTTTATTATCTAAAGTAATAATTGATTTTATTTTCAAAATTACTTAAGATTAGTTTTAATTTTAAAATGATTTCATTCATTTCATTATATAAAGTAGTAGTTATTTATTTTATTTTTAAAATCAAATTGATTTGATTTTAAGTTAAAATCACTCTCTCATTTGAAGTAATAATTTAATTTTATATTATATTTAAATTAATTTAAAATTTTCCATTCATTAATTAATATTTGATTTTAAATAGATTTTACAATTTAATTATTATATTATCTATTAATTAAATAAATAAAAATATAAAAATTAAAGAAAAATAAAAAAATGAAAATGTAAAAAAAAAAGTTAAATTAGTTGGGTCAACCAAGTTTATCAAGTTTAAGCAAATTCAACTAAGTCTAAGCAAATTTGACCAGATTTAGGCAGGTTTTGACTAAATTTAATTTCAAATGGGTCACTATCCTAACCTAGTTCGTTTTTAAAACCAACTTTAATTTAACCAATTGAACTGACAGGACAGGCCGAGTTTCAAAACAATGCAATCTAGTGTAAAGTACACAAACACTTGAACCCAATTGTAGTATTTCCCTAAAAATATCCTCAATTGTAACAAAATTTTGATCAAGGTAAAACAAATATCGTGGGTCACAAGAGATGAGTGATTGAAACTGAGTGATGTTGTTGTCCAATCCAAAATCTGATATCCACACAAAGGGAAGTGGAATTTTTTTTTTTTTTTCTTTTTGAGAAATAAAGAGGAGGCATTTGATAATTGATATTGTTAGGTAAAAGTCGAATTTGATGGAACATATATGAACCTTGTGATTTCACAAAACCTTAAAATAATGTTTAGAAAAGATAGAACCACTTTTTTAAAAACTATTGTTTTCTTTCTATGAGTTATGTTATGGTCTTTTTTTTAAAGAAAAAAATGTTAAGTTAAACTTACATGAACGCATAAATAAACTATATAAAACCTGTAAGATAGAGAAAGTACTCCGGTCGCTTTCATCATTTGTTTTTGGTAAATCTAAATAGGAGCAGTGGCGGAGCCGCATGTTGACAGGAGACCCCAGCGGGGCCACAGCCCCCCGGCTTTTTGAAAATGACTAGTTACTGCTGTTATTTTTATGATCCTCAATATGAGTTGTTGGCTGTTTTGCTTACTGATACTACGGGGGGACTGCTTTTTCCGAGGCTTGTAACTGATTGTTGATTTTGAATGGGCTTTGCCCCGATCTTCACAAAATAAAGAAACTCGAGGTCCGCTAAAAAACCACTCTCTTTAGGTCTAATAATTTATTTTTAAATTTTAATACTTGAATTGAATTAATTGAAAGTTCAAATCCACTAACTACTTAAATAATTACATTTGACCTTTGAGGCAAACGTAACCTCACAGCACATTATTCCACAACTAATTTTCACATCACTGTTGGTTGAAACTGTTACAGTTAGTCAGTTACCAGCTTTTCTTTAGGGCATGGCTTATTTGGCTTGAAAGTTCAGTGTGAGCACCACAACACATTATTCCACAACCAATTTCCATGTCACCTTTGGCTGAAACTGTTACAGTTACCAGCTTTTCTTTAGGTCGTGGCTTGTTTGGCTTGAAAGTTCAGTGTGAGCACCACCGTTCACAGAAAACGGCATAACTTTGTTTCTTATGTTCGTCTATTTTAAACAGGTAATAGTCATGGATGGCCTAGAAAAGAGGGAAAAAAACGTGAAACAGAAGCCAAAAATATTTTGAAACATTAAACAAGAAAGAAAAAGCAATCCCCCTACCAAATGAAAGTAACTCATGTAAAGAACACAAGATACCCTCTACTTTAGCGCAAGAGCGCACAAAGAGTTGTCTTCCCAGCTATGTACACGGTAATACTCTAAAAATAGTTATAGACCTAAAATTTAGAGTAGAACAGCGAATCATTCAGCCCGCCTTTGAGATTAATAGATGTCGTCCCACCACAAACAGGCATGTTAGGAGGGAGTTCCCGAATTGTTGTCTCAGAGTGCCTCCATTCTTCACAATGATCACAGTGCTCACCCCCCAGTCCAAGTGATAATGCCATATCATTACTCCTGCAAATTCAAAGGATGGTGTTTGAATTAGGACTTTAATAATTAATTGGACTATGCACTATTGTATACTATAAGGACATTAATTGGTGACTTTCTAGTTTAACATAATGCATAACATATTTATTAAAAAATTATTATTTTTTAGTATGAAATTAAAGACAAACAAATTTAAAGATATAGACATGCATATACCGTGCAAGAATTGACTAAATTAACTATATTTATATTATATTTTAATAATTAAACCAAGCAAATATTGAAAGTTATGTTAATTCAAAAGGTGCACTAATAGTTTTCCATATAATATATGTGTGTAAAGGTAAAAGTTCTGTGTAAATAAGTACTAATTCTCTCTCTATCTATTTTTATATATTATATAAAATATTACCCTATATATTAATTTGGGTATGCATTTAATACTTTATAAAATATAAAGAATTCTCAAAAATAAAAAAGAATGAGGTGAAAAAATCATAATAATAGATGGTGAATGAAAGTGATAGATTAAGGGCTAACATTAAAAATGACAGTTAATATATTAATATATTAGATGTTGGATATTAGATATTAGATATACCCTATGCGCAGCCTTAGACAATCTCATGGCATGCCTTCTAAATGGATAGCTTCCTTTGTTTGGTTGGATCTTCGCACTCATCTCATAAAAAATTTGCATATGAACCACAAAACTATACCATTTTAAAAAATATAATATAATATAATAACTGGCTTTCTTGTTTACTTATTGATTTAATTTTTTAATTTTAAAATACAAACTTTCATGGAACTGATGGAGTGTGGGAATGTCCTTTTCAATGTCTAACTGTGTCCCTAGACTTAGATTTTTGTACAAACCATTTTAAAGGACTTATTATACCCAATAATTTAGAGTAGTAGTAACCCTAATTTTTTAATCCCTCACACTTAGGGTATATTTAATATAGTGGTTAAAATTTAATAAATAGTAGATAGTGAATAATGAGTAGTGGATAGCATATGACAATTAGCAAATAATAAATGATGAATAGTGGATAATAAATAACAAGTTTTGATTAATATAGCTGTTTGGCCATATAATTGTTAGCTGTAATTATTTGACATTAAATGACTAATAAATGTACCGTTAAAAGTAATTAAATGTATTTTTCTTTTTTATATTATTTATCATTAAAATTAGTAATTTTATAAAAATAATAATGACAAAATAAATAATATAAAAGTGTAACTCACAGACTCATTTTTATTTTTAACACATATATTATATTATTTTTAAATTAAGAGATTTTTTTTAATCATTTCATATAATTAACAAATTTAGTTTATTAAGCTAATATAATTTTTTATGATTAATTACTATAAAAAATAAAAATATATTAGTCACTTAATGTTATTAAAAAGAGACAAACAAAACTAAAACTAATTAAATAAGTATTAATTAAAGACAGTGACAAAAAAATTAAAAAAAATAAATTTGTTAATAAAATTAAAAAATTTTAATTTATTAACGATTTTATACAAAAAAAAAAACATAACTTTTTCAATCTGCTAGTAATTTAAACCCTAACTACTCTTGACCAATCTCAAACAACTAAATAAAAAAGTTTATCAAATATCTAATTTTTTTAATAGTTTTGAAATAAATAAATTTATTAAACACATATTCTATAGCGATTTGAGCAAGCAAACTATTATTTCCAAACTTATAACCCCAAACTACCATACCAAATAAGTCTTTAATTTAAAATTTAAGTTCATAACCCAATAACAAAAGAAGGGTGGGACATCATATGGTTCGTGATAATCTGGACATTATGGTTTTTTTTTTTTTTTTAATTTGAACTCGGGAAATTTTTTAAGGTGGAGAATTAGTAGTAGCTAGCTGAGTGTAGAATATTGGATTTCATGTCCTAAATCCTCCCCATCAAAGGGGTATGGCCACTGGCCCACTGTTAGAGCAAACACTATGGTTAGCTAGAAATGAGCTAGAAATGAGGTATTGCTTCAGCACAAAACCTTTGATGATGGGAAGATATTTGACTTGGTACAAGCACGCTCATTCCAGTGAATTAAAGGCAAAGGTAGTTGGCAAGGCATCTCATTAACTGACTGGATTCAACAACCTGGCCTAAGTAGCAAAGCTACACTTACTAAGGGAGTTATTAATGATGCTCAAATGGGTGGTGCTACCAAGATTTATTTGTGCTTATTTAATCTAGATTGTGTATATATGTCAAGGTTTGGTACCCTCGATACCCATAATAAAATCACTTTTTTGTTGTTCCAAAAAAATTTTAATTTAAATTTAGAGTGGATGGTAAAGACAAATACACCATCACCATCTCAACCTCACAAAAACTTATGTCTATGTGGATGCAATTAATGATCCACCAATCCATTCAAAGTGTTAGCCGTGTGAATAGACCATCATTATCTTTGTCCCTAATATTCCCAATGCAACGTGGCATTGGACTTAGTTATACATATAATATGTAAGAATTGATTAAATCAAATATACTTATACTATATTTTAATTATTAAACTAATCAAATGTTAAAAATTGCGTTGAAGTAGAGGATATATCAACTATTTTTCTCCAAATCAAAGGCCACAAAATCATAGAAATTATGTAATTTTCCCATAGGTTTTGGAGAGTAGAACATGACTCTTCTTATGATCATGGATAAAATAGGTCTAGCACTTCTATATTATAGGAAAGATAGATCATAAAAGATGCAACAAAAAAATGATGCATTGTATCTTACTCCAAAAGACAAGCAAATTCAAGGTCGCTAAAGACATTAGCCAATTCAGCAATTACAGTAAACATTCACAATCAAATCATGTTTAATTTATCTAAAGTTTTAGCTGAATTTTTGGACTTTTGAATTCCATGAATTGATGAACTTCTACATGAAGGCATATTCGAAGGGCGCTCTCGCATACTTGTCTCAACAGTGCCACCATTTTTTACTAAAAAAACTGTGTTCATTCCATATGTGTAGTGATGCTCAATATGACAATGCATAAACCATACTCCTGCCAACAATTTCAACATTTAACAAGGTTAATAACACAAAATCCATGGAGTTGGCCAAGAAAGGAAAAGAATCATGTTAAGTTTCGTGTTGCAAAACATACCTGGATTACTTGCCCTAAATCTAAGCGCGAACCATCCTAATTTTGGAACAATTGCAGTATTCTGATATGGTGGATCAATCAGATTGTAGCCTTTCGGGTCCTCATTTGGATTAAAGTTCCCTTCACCTAATCCAACTACATAAAAGCTATGTCCATGCAAATGCATCGGATGATTTTGTGATGAATTTAGTACATTGGTGGATTGAAAAACTATCTCAACCTCTTCATTATAATCAAGCAACTTGACCTTTGTTGCCATAAAGGACTGTGTGACATTAAGCCCCAAATATTCTTCTAAGAAGTTGTAATAGGTTGGTGGCTCATCAGGAAAATCTGTGGTGTAAAAACCACTTATATTCCTGCAATTAAATTAATCAAGTAAACAACCCAAAAGCCACTTAAATTATCCCAAAATAGAATATAATACGTACCAGTAGTAGGCATCTAATACACTTAGAGTAGGGTCCAACCATGAAACATTGTTTAAGCTTGCAGCCATATATAAGTATAGGTCTTCAACATTTTCATTCAAGGCAACTGTCACAAACATTCTAGTGCTGATGTTCTTCGGCACATCAACTGGATACTTCTCGCTTGCTAAACTTCGAAATTTTGACATAAAATCTATTCCGGCTTTGTAGTTAGTGTAATAAGGCAGAGTGCTGCTTGGAAAAGAAGGAGATGATGAACTATAGTTGCCTCTATATTGTAGAATTGCAGTAGCATTTATTTGAGTATAGTAGCCCGGATGAACGGTGGTGGTAGAGTAGCAATTTCTAGTAGCCATGTAATATTCACCAAGAGATTGGTTTGTTGTGACCAAGATGTCCATGGTTTGCCCTGGAGCCATCATTATATAACTTGTAACTATAGGCTTGATATAGGCACCATCAGTTCCAACAACAGTAAGATTATGCCCAGCAATTGCAAAGAATGTCAATTCATCCATGTGTACATCCACTAAACGTAGCAAATAAGTCTTCCCATAATCAACTAGCCAACGGTATGTTGTTTCTGCAATATCAAAGAATAAATTATCAGTCTAAATATTTAAGCCATTTAAGACTTCAAATTGGCCCTTCCTCAGCCAATATTGGAGCCAAAAGGTTCAACAACTAAGATGTACCCTTGGAACAATCGTGAAAGTCTCCTGGTTGGCTATTGAAGGTAGAACAATTGGGTTCATGTGTTGAAAAGCCTCCAACTTTTAACTCCTCATGTATGACATAGTTAACATCAACTTCAAACCAGTCTCCTGCAAGTAAACCATAGAAAAGGAAAACTAGAATGCATAAATTTCTTAAAACAATTCAAACTTTTGAATATGATCATACCGAGCACTAGGATCTCTTCTCCATCTGGTTCAGGAAATGGAAATGTAGTTTCCCTAGGAGGGTAAACTACAATTGCTCCATGAACACTTTGTCGGGTCCAGTTGCTATGAGCATGCCACCAAAGGGTCCCTTCCTCATCAGAAAATATAACCTCATAGGTCAAATTCGTTCTAGGCTCAATCATACACTGTGTGATATGAGAAGTACCATCTGACCATGGATTCCTCGGTTGCCTCACTCCATGCCTGAGATTTTTTATTTTTGGGTAAATATACATGAGAATTTAGTATATATTGATTTGGTTTCTTCATATTTTTTTTCCAAGGAGTCTATAGAAACCAACTACAATGAGTCTTTTCATTAAAATGGTAGCATGCACACTCATTGCTCATTTAGACTATTCATCAAATGTCTTGAAGGTAATGACACAAAATATCATAAATTAAAACCTAGCGCATTACTCTTAGAAGTTCATATACAAGAACTTATAGGGAATTTCGGGAGAGATGTAGTGCAATCATGGGTGACTAAAGATAATGAATGATTCTACTTTTGTGTCTTTTATGTGGGTCATTAGAAGTTGAAGATGTAGATCACTAGATTTTCCTTTTCTTCATTGTGAGGGTATGAAGGGGTTCCCCTATGTGTTGTCAGGCTACATTTATTGCATTTATGTGGTGGGGGTTAGATTGAGGAAGATATATAGTGTTTATTGTTTTCTGTGGTAGCATGGTGTATTTGACTACTTGGTTGTCGACAAGAAACTGTCTTCACTGATGTAGATATGATTTTTTTTTTTTTTTTGAGCAAGGGCAATTTTAGGGGAAAGGGGAAGGGAATGGACTCAGCCCATGGGTTGGGAGAAGCATCTATAGCCCATAGGTTAAGTGCAAATATTTAAGTAGTTTGTGATATTTAAGCTTTCAATCAACTCAACTTATGCATTAAGACTTGAGGATGAACTATTAGACCCGAAGGGTTGGTTTAGTGATGTAAACATGTTAGTTGATAAAATGTTCAAGTTGAGCTTAGTAAATATATTTTTTTTTCTTAAAAAGGACCAAAGTGATGTAGCTTCGGTCCTTTTGGGCTGTAAAGTTTGACTAGGCATTGTTTTCAATGCTTGCCACTTCCTCCAACATTCGTTGGATTTGAATCCAATGGCTAAGACCTTTTTTTATTTTAAAAAAATTTAATTCTAAAATTTTATTTAAATATATAAAATATTAATAAAATAAAATAATAATTGTATGATTTTTTAAGAAAATCCTATTTAAGAATATGCATTGAAAGGGAGATGTTTTATTAATTGTTTAAATATATGAAATTATAAATTTATATAAAATAATATTAATTGTGATAATATAATATTAAAGTTAATTTTTTTTATCGTTATCCGTTGTTTGTGCTCTAATTGTTTGCTCAACTGAGGATCTTACTCCAATCATTATCTTGTGTCATTTAGTTCCTCTTTTCTTACACCATTCCAGTTGCT